GGCATTCCTGCCCCTGCCACTGGCCCTGCAGTGTGGGTGCCTGGGCCTGACCTGGAGAACATGGGGCCCAGGGCTCAGGCTAGGCCTGGGCCTCCTGGGCCTTGAAGCTCATCCAGCACTGAGTCCCAGGCACAAGGGCCAGGGCCTCCGAACACTCAGGGCAATGGGACAGAGAGAAAGAAAGCCAGAGAGAGGCCCCATGGGTGGGGAGGCAGGCACGGGGCAGGGGCCAAGGTAGAGTCAGCAAGGAGTCTGCAGCCCAGAAGACACCAGCGTGACACCTGGCCAGGCCAGCCAGGCAGGGGGTGACCCTTACACTGATGGTTCACTCCTCCGCCAGGCTGGCTCTGGGGTGACGGGGAGAGGGGTAGAAAAATAGAGGTCCCCAGGCCAGTGAGGAGAGGCCCCATCACCACAGGGACAGTCCGAGGGCCTGACGAGCAGACAGGTGGTACAGCACAGCCCAAGGACTCCTCGGAGGTGGAGGCACCTGCACCCGAGGTTCTGAAGACCAGGTCAGATTCGGGGAGTAGAGGGGGAGGCTGGGAGAAGGAGCAGCCTGAGTAGAAGGTGGGAGGCTGGACAGGCACGAGGCGGCTGGTGGGGCTGGATGGGTGCAGGTCAAGGAGGCCCAGAAGTGAGGCTGCAGAAAGTCCGGTCCAGGATGGGGGGGCTTCGGATGCCAGGCTGTGGGGCTCAGGCTTGGCCTGAGGGCTGCGGAGAGCCACGGAAGGGTTTAAAGCAGGAGAGTGACCTGGTTGACTTGTGCCTTGTGAAGGTCAAGAATGACTTGGGACGCTGCAGAAGCGGGATTCAGGGAGCAGCGGGCAGAGGGACCAGCTGGCGGCCTCGATGGGCCTTCAGTGCAGCTCTGATTTGGGACGAGGGTGGGTGAGCAGGGTAGGTGGGCTCCAAGTCTCTGCCTCTGTAACCTCCCATGAGACCCAGCCGCCAGCTGCCCCTCCTCCCCCAGAATTTGCCTCTAAGCTTCCTGGAAAAGCTTCAAGTCTGACCCCGCTCCGGGCATCTGGAGCTGACCCCACCTTCCGAACGTCTGCCAGGAGAAAGGGTTCCTCGGGCAGCAGGGCTTGCTGATGCCAGGAGACACAGGAGTCCAGCCTCTGCTCCCAGGGTCCTAGACGGACCTGGGCTGGCCCAGGCTCCCCACTCGGGAGCTGTGTGGCTTAAGGCAAGACCCTGTCCCTCTCTGAGCCTGTTTCCTCATGTATGAAGTGCGGTGAACAACACCCTGCCACTTTGTTGTCATGGGAATCTGACGCTTGCCGGGCATTGGGCTGAGCACGCAGTGGGTGCTTACTAAGTGTGAGCTCTTCCCAGCCAAGGTAGGCCAGCTTGTCCTTCCCCCACGCTCCCTGGAGACAGAGCCCAAAGCACAGCAGGCTGGGCACAGCTGGAATGGCTTTCTTCATCACCACACCTGCCCCTGCTGGGCACTGGGGGACACCGGGGGTGGGGTGGTGGGGCAGTGGGTGGAGGGGATGGCCGGCTCCTGTGACAATGCTCCCTCCCGTTGGGCTGGTCTGCGGGCAGGGTCCCCGAGTCCTGGCACCAGGGGAGCACAACGACCTGTGGCCGGGGTGGGGCTGATAAGGCCCCCATCAATCACCTGAGCCTGCCCCTCCCTCAGTGGGGCCTCCTTCCAGCAGCTCAGTGGCCTCTGGGAGAGGAAGGTAGGCCTCAGCAGACCCCCTGCATGTCTGACCCCCGCACAGACATCTCGCTGGAGGGCATGAGGGGGTGGACAGGGGTCTGGGTCCTGCCCATCCTGGTGTCAAACTGAGGCCTGGGGAGAGGCCGTTCCTGCCCACTATCACCCAAGAGTCAGGTGCCGGCTCCAGCCTGGCCTTTGTCCCCATGGTGGGGGGTGACCTGGGGATGGGGCGTCTCAGCCTCTGGTTGGTCAGTGACTTCAGCAGGTCCTGCCCTTCTTTGGGCTGGCCCCCCACCATCTCCAACCCCTCTTAACACAATGGGGTGGGTGGGAGGTTCCAGCAAGCCAAGAAGTTTCTCTCCTTTCTCCCACCCCTAGCTTAACCTAAAGGCAGAAAGTCAAACACAGCCAGGCTGGGCGGAAAGGGGGTGGGGTGTGGGCGGAGCCTGGGGGAGACTGGGTGGTGAGGGCTCCGCTCAGGGTGGGTCAGCGGCAGCCTGCACGCCCATGCCCTGGGGACCCCTCCCCACCCTCTGTCGGGGAGGGGCCAGAGCATACCTCTCTGGGTGGTGGGGAGGAGATGCAATGGGTGAGAAACAGCTTGGGAACCTCCCGCCCCTGGTTAAATATAGAAGCATGGCCCCTCGCACAGCCTTCCCTGCAGGCTGCAAGGCCCGATAAGCCCCCGGTGGCCTAGGCCAGCCCCCTCCGGCCTGACTCCACCTCCCCCCAGTTCTGAGACACCCAGTGAAAAGGCATGGCCTCCCATGGGGGGTCCCTGAACTCCGCTTTGAGCAGCAGTTAGGCCTGATGGCTGAATGGGGGTGAGCTGAAGGATGGGGTGGGGGGCGGTGAGTGGCTTGTGGAGGGGGTGGGCATTTTAGCCTCAGGACCTAAGGTCCAGGAAATCCTGGACGTGGTTTCTGGGCCCAGCCCCGGGGACTGTGGGCTGTGGGTCGGGCTGTGCCCCAGAACCCAGGCGTTCAGTTCCGTCTCCAGCTCCGATGGGAGGGTCTGGCCTGGCAAAGCCGGTGAGGTGGGTACCTGGAGGAGACCTTGGAACATGGTGTCAGGGGAGGTTTCCTGATAGAAGCAGCTGTCTGTGTCTGCAGAAATAGCTGCAGCCTGGCACAAAGACGGCTCTGGCCATGGAGCTGCCTGGTGACATTTCCTTTTTGACAGCCCTGGGGTCACCTCCTGGGGAAAGCTTCCCTGACTAAGCTACTGGGCCCCAGCACATCCCACAGGGCTCTCATGGGTTTCTGTGTCTGCTCCTGGGGGCTAGGCACCCCCCAGGGCTTCCTGAGCCTCCTTTTCGCCTCCAGCTGTGCTGCTGCCAAGATGCCGTCGCCTCAGACAGTGGCCTCTGGGCCGGAGCCGCGCAGCCCCAGGGAGCCTGTGGTACCCCAGATCCCAGCTCAGGGCACTCGGAGGGCAAGCAGCGAGGATGCATCCAGCGCCCATCGTGAGGGCTCGAGGCCTGGCCTGGGCACCTTTCGGCGGGCCTTCTCAAAGGCAAGCCAGCGGGCCTCGGGCTGCGACCCCCAGGAGGACACAGGCCTGCTCAGGCGCAGCTCCCGCCTCTTGTTCCGGTCTTTACGGCGTGCTCTGGACAATGGCCCGGCTGCTGACCAGACCCAGGCTACCACTGGGCCAGGGGTGGTCCACGGCCAGGAGGTGCCCTCAAGGGCCATGGACGGTGTCAGCGCGCAGTCATCCACTGGGGCGGGGCCTGCGGAACTAGAAGGTGAGGGCTTCCTCACCACTGAGCAGGGGAGGAAACCGAGGCCAGAGAAGGGTGCAGTGGGGCCCAGGCTTCCTGACAGGCCCTCCTCCCCAGCTACCCCAAACCCCTGCCCCTGTACAATCTCACGTTAAATTCTTCCAACATTCCAACAAGGGCAACTGAGAAAAGTGAGGCTCAGAGAGGTTAAGTGGCTTGCCTCAAGTCTCACAGCTGGGAAGTGGAAAAATGGGATGTGAACCCAGATCTGCAGGACCCCATAACTCCACAGGCTTCCACAGCCTGGCTCCTGGCCAAACCAGAGTGGTGCAGAAGGCACTGGCCCTCTCAGATCACAGCATCACAGAGGGTGCCTGTGAGCCAGCCATGGGGCAGAGGAGGTCGGGGGCTGCCCAGGAGAGGACCCATTGGAGTAGGGCCCTGAAGGGGGAATGTAGGTGAAGGTAGAATGCCCCTAGGGGCTGGAGGTTGGCCCAGAGCAGGGAACAGCAAGAAGTGCTGAAGCTGGACACTGCGGCAGGAGCCTGGGCATGCCCACCCTGAGCTCTGACCCCACTGGACCTGCAGTCAGGACTGTACTTGAAGCCACCAGGTCCAGTTCTGTAGAGCTGGGAATGGGAATGGGAGTGGGGGAGGGGGAAGGCAGGGGCTGATCCCAATTGCTGTTCTGAGCCAGGCTTGGGACCTGGGGTTCTGCCTCTTCAAAGGTGATTCCAAAGGACACAGGGCACCTGGGGCTGTCGCTCCTGGAGCAGGCCTTCAGATGCAGCTCTGGGGCCCGGCAGCCCGGCTCCGGATGTGTGGGATCCGGGCCGACAGGCCTAGCTGAGGCATCCCCCTCATTGCCCCTCTTCTCACCTGACCTCGCAAAAGACAAATCTGTGGCTGATCTCATCACGGAGCGGAAACTGCTGGCGGCCTTCGAGCAGCTGCGGCACTTCGAGACCCGGCTAGTGGCCGAGAAAGCCTCGCGCACCTTCGAGCAGGACCCCACGGGCTTTGCGCGGCGCGCCATGGACCTGTGCCTGCACTACGATGGGCTGGCTGCGGAGATCGGCGCCATCGTGCTCGAGACCCTGGGCCCGGATGGCGTGGACGCGGCCGTGCTCGCGGAGCTGGCCCGCGTGGTGCGCGCGGAAGAGGAGGCCCACCCAGAGCCCCCTGCAGACGGCGACTTTCTGTGCACGCCGCGCCACTGGCGCCAGCACTGGGAGGACGCGGTGCGCCGGAGCGCGCGCCAGCGCGTGCAGCAGGTGAGCGCGGGGGAGGCCCCGGGGGCAGCCGAGGGTGCCTCCGGCTTGGCCCAGCTTCTGGCCGAGCTCGGCTGCTTGGTTCGCCGCGACCTGCAGAAGGTGCAGCTGGAGGTGCACCCGGCTTACGCGGCCGCCGGCTATCCCGCGTGGGAGGCCTACCTGCGCGCCTTCCACGGTGCAGTGGCCCAGTGCCTCCAGGAGCTGGCGCACGACGCCCGTGGCTGCGAGCAGCTCTACGTCCTGCTGGACTGGGCCTCCAACGTCTACAGCAGGTGAGGCCCCAGCCAGGACGACATGAGGGGCAAGGAGGGGCTGGAACTGCCCACACAAGAGGCCTTCAGGAACCTGCTCTAAAGAGCACAGGGCACCTTTCTTCCCCTTTTCCTCCCCGGAGAGTGCTGGCGATTGGGCGTCTGATCCAGGAGCCTTCGACATTCTCTCCTCTCCGTTCTAGACCATAGTGCTCTCCCAAGAGGGGAGAGGGGCCATCCAGCCGCCGGTTCCTGAAGCTGGAAAGCATCCGGGTGGGGGGCTGGGGGTGCTTATGAGGCAGGGAGCCCAGTTAGGCACAAGCTAGTCCACAGGGTGCCTCTGAGAGAATTAGCAAAGGGCACCCCTCCAGGCAGGACACAACTGTGGACTCACAGCACTTGGCGTGAGTTGGCTTTCAGCCCCACTCTCGCTTCGGATGGACACCTGGGTTCAGGGCTCTGCAGAACGTGATGGGGTGGGTCACCTCTCCCGCTGAGCACTCCCCAGCCCCACGGGCAGACGGGCAAGCCGGGGGAGGGCACCAAAGTCCTGGGCTCCTTAATAGGCCCTGTGGCCTCAGACAAGTACCTGCCCCTGTCTGGGCCTCCCTAGTGTGGACATGATAGTGGCTGGTCCCTGAGCTGCATGGTCCTGGGGGCGTTTAGAGTTCAGTCTTGGGTGTACCCTGACCATGAGGATAGTGGTCACACCCGAGGCAACCTGGTCAACGTCCATCTGGACGGCCATCTTTATGCATTCTGTGCATGCACAGCTGATTGCTTAGGATGCCTGGAAATCCTGCAGTCAGAAGCTGCGGGGAGGGGTGTCTGGCATGGAAACCTGGAGGGTGTGGCGGGGGGCTGAGTATGTGAACAGCCCAGATTCGGGGCCCTCACGGTGACGGCATTAGGCTTTGAGCCTATCCAGAGAGGAGTAGGGGCAGCCGCTGCCCCATCAGAGTTCCACTCAGAACTTCAGGCTCCACCCTGCCTTCCAGTCCTGATTTCCTGGGCTCCCAGGACCTGGCTCTGCCCTCGGAGCCACTGCCCCCGCTCCTGGCACCCGATGTGTGGGCCCGACTCGAGAGCGACTACACCAGCTTCCTGGAGGTAAGGGCCACGAGGGGCCAGGCCGGAGGGGGTGGGGTCCAGGTTGAGTGTGGCTGCCGCCCCACTGCAGGGAGGCTCCATGCCCTCAGGCGTGGGCCTGTGCACCAGCAGGGTGGCCCCTGTCTCCAAGGGCGCGCGCGATGGGGCTCTGGGCTCGGGAGGTAGGGGACCTCCTTCCTGGGAGGGTCTCACCGCGGCCCCTTCCTTACCTGGCACAGACCAAGATCGCGAGCTGCTTCGATGGCATCCTGCAGGTAGAACAGAGTCGCTGGGTGGCTGCCGAGGCCCCCGAAGTGCTGCAGGGCCACTACCATACGCCACTGTCCATCGACGTACACATGGTGCGCCCAGAAGGAGGGACATGTGTTTGGGCCTCAGGCGGTAGAGACACCCAGAGCTGTAAAATACAGTCATAACCACCTCCCCGTTGGACGGGAGCTTGAGGCCGCATGTGGGGCCGGATCAGAGGCCCTCGGGTCACCTGGCCAAGCTGGGAGCACCAGGCCACAGCTCCCAGCTTAGCAGGCGGCCCCATGGGTGTGGGGAGTTGGGAGGGCTGACCTCGAGCCTGGGACCTCTGGAAGTTGCAGGCGAGACGTCGAGGAAGAGCAGGGAAGGCTGGAGACATCACGGGGCCACGAGGTGGGGGGCTGGGGGCGTTGGGACTGAGGGCTCAGACGCGCCTTCAGCGTGTGGCATCGCTCTCAGCTCGTGGCAGAGCACGTGAAGGCAGCTGGCGCCATCTCCACGGAGCTGGAGGCCACCACCTTGCGGATCTGCACGCGGGCCCTTTGCCTCTTCCTGCCCAGGTAGGGGCGCATCTTGGGCCGGGGTGTGGTGGGTGGAGTGGCCAGGGTGTGGACGGTGGTCGTCCCTGGGGAGGGCCCATCCTGTTGGCTCAGGGTCCGAGATCCCCGGACAAGCCTCATCGTAAGGCCCGAGGGAGGGCGGACACGAGGTCATAGAAGCCAGAAAGAGTCTCCAAGACCTCTGCGTACCTCTCCGCCAGGTTTGAAAAGGCTTTCCTGGAGTCGGGGGCGGTGAGCGAGCCTAACCTGTGCGCCAACATCAATGCCTGCGAGGAGCTCAGGTGGGTTTCTCTCGCTCCTCCGCAGGGGCGGTGCCGAGCACGGCCGGCAGGGGGTGCGCAAACTGAGGGAACCAGGACCGGGAAGGCTACCGCGGCGGCCTCAGGCGGCCTTTCCAGGAGGCCTCCAGGGATAGCCCGCCTCTGCGCCTCCGTCTCCGCTGTGGGGTCCTCTCTCGGCCCCGCAGAGCTGAGGCCCTGGAAGGGATGCGGGGAGTTTCAAGGCCGAGCAGAGGCCAAGAAGCCCTCCCTGACACTCCCCCCAGGGCTTTGCTCGTGCTGGGGCCTGGGTTTATCTACCCCAGAAGGCAGAGGGCTGGCACTGGCTGTTCCCCTTCTGTGCCAAGCGTTAGTGTCCCCCCACTTAAGATGCATCAGCTGCTGCAGCGCAGGGTGGGGTCCCCATGTACAGATGGGAATGTGGAGGCTCAGAAAGGAAATGCCACTTGTCCACGGTCACACAGACAGTACATGCTGCATCTGGGACGTGAACAAGGTCTGTGTGAACCCAAAGCCTGACCACGCTGAGGCTATAACACTCTCTTGTCCCTAATCTGTGCCAGACTAGCCCTGGGCACGGGGGACCCTGGGGTTCAGCCCCAGGGAACATTCTCTGTTCCTTGGTAGGCAGCCTCTGGCCAAGCCCCTGATGGAAATTTAACCTGCCTTTCTGTGTCACTGGGCTGGGGACCGGGCAGAGCCTGGCCCTCGGTTTACTCAACAGTGAAATGGGGACATTATAATATTTGGAGAGACAGTTATGAGGCTCAAAGGAGGGGCCCCTGTGTCAGGAATGGCTGCGTTGCACTGTTCTGTCACCAAGAGGGATGCAGGTTCGGCTCAGCGCTGCCACAGGGGAGCTCTGCCATGCAGTGGGACCACCACCACTCCACTGCCCTGCCCCTCTATGATCTGGGGCATAGTGCCGTCCCCTCACTTGCCTCTGCTCCCAGGGCTACTACACTGTGCAGCCCCGGGGGGCTGCCCTTCACATTATAGTCTAAGTGAATGGAGTTGGTGTGGCACCAGCCTTCATGGCTGTATGTCAGGCCTTGACCCCAGCTCACTTTGTCCCCTGTCCTGGCCCCTCCCCAGAACTCATCTTCTGGCCAGGTTCCCAGGAAGCCTTGAAGAGCTGGAGAAGCCCCTGGTGGCTGCCACCTGCGCCTTTCAGAAGCGGCTGCTCCAGGGCTTGCAGGGTGATGTGCAGGTGAGGGGAATGGGCCCTTCTCTCCCCACTTTCCATGCCCAGCAGGTGCCCCCTGTGTCCTGGAGCCTGGGAGCCCAAGTCACGGCATTCATTTACCGTGGGGGCAGTGCTGGGGTGGTGTGTCGGGGGGCTGGCGGGGGACCCAGACAAGTTCCCAGCTGAGCAGAAACAGTTGGGAAACAACTACCTTCTTCAGTCTCCACGTCTCAGAGTAGGTGTGTCCAAGGAACTTCTCCTCATCCGGCCCCTCAAGGCCCCCCCGAGGACTCCCCAAGCAAGGCCTGGCTAGAGGCTCAAACTCAAACTCAAACTCTGCCTACTGGGGCTCCAGGCCTGGAGAAGGCAGTCCCTGGGAAAGGCCTAGTAACATAATTTGTGGCAGGAGAGGGGATGTCACCAAGGTACCCTAGAGAAGGGGGTCAGATAGCTCCCCAGAATTTCTTCCTGTTGACAGATTGTCCCTTGGCCTGAAACACCCCTGTCAGGGGTCATGCACGGGGCTCCCAGGGGAGGGTCTAGTGCGTGGGGAGGACACCTGGCTAGAAGACTCCTGACCCTCTCTGCCCCCAGCCACTCTTCAAGGTCCTGTGCACCAAGGCCTGGCTGACACAGGATGTGCTGCAGCCCCTCCTGGACAAGGTGGTGGCATTCGCCGGCCACCTCGAGCATGTGGTCCCACCCCGGGCGCAGGTACAGGGGGGGTGAGCTGTGGTGGGGGCATGCCCAGGGCCCCTACTGTTGACCCTGACCCAGACTCCCGCTTTGGCCGCCCAGGAGACTCTGCAGGAGGTGCACCGTTACATCATCCGCGAGTACCTGGCGCAGGCGCTGAGGCCCCGCGAGCGGTTCCGGGGTGTGGAGCGCGTGAGTGGCTCCCAGAAGATGGGCCTGGACGCCCAGGCCATTGGCAACACCTTCCAGGGCCTGGTAGGAGCACTGTCTGGCTGCCCGGAGTGCCGGCCTCCTTGGGGGGCCTCCAGTGTGGGGACCCTCCACTAGCACCCCCCATTCTCATTTCCGCTCGCCCCTGTAAGAGCCCCGGGGGGCAGGCTTTGTCGGAAGTGATTCTGCGCGCTCTCCCCTAGCCGAGTGGGGCCCGGTGGGGACGACACTTTGCATACATTTGCATTCATTTGCATGTAGTATGTTGGGTGTGGGGGGGAGGGATGAGGGTCGCAGCCCCGTCTGATGGGCGGGAACTATGGAAGACCTCTCCTGAGCCCCTGACCCTGAGCAGTTCGAGCTCAGGCACCTCCTCCCTACACATACACCTCTTATCTGGGCTGCTGGTCCCCCACCCGCTGTACGACTCCAGGCAGGACTTGCCCGCGGGGCCTCGGTTTACCCATCTGAGCAGATTCTTGAAGACACCTCCGTGCTCTGTCGTGGGGGAGGGAAGATGACTATTGAGCTGAGACTGAGTCCACGGTGCCGAGGCCCGCGTCCCCTTCTGCGATGCAGGAGGCAACCCAGTGGGACCGCGGTGGTGGCTTCAGGAGGGCTCTACGGGGCTCTAATGGATGGGCTGCAGGCAGCGGGGGCAAGGGGGTTCCGGGGGCGGGGGACAGTGGCCCGCCCCGCACGCGTCTCCCTGTGTCCGTAGGGCTCTGAGGCCACTTGGTTGGGCCGAGCTATCCCGTGCGTGGCGGACATACTGGGCGAGACTTACAAAGACGACATCCGGCGGCACCTGGAGACACTCATCCGGAGCTACCCCGACATCAGGTCCGTTCCCCACTAGATTCTGGCGGGCCCCGCGGGGCCCTAGGCTCAGGGGACTCGTGCCTGCGGCACCAGTGTGTGCCTGCGGCTGCAGGTGGGCGGGCGACGAGCCTGAGGGCTGCGCGAGCTGGTTCGGGGGAGGGGAGAGGGGAGGGGGAGGGGGAAGGGGCGCCTCCCGGGCGGGGCTCGGACTAGCGCCGGCCTGAGTGCGCAGGTGCAGGTGCAGCAGCTAAGGGCCCCCGGCCTTCAGGCTGTGGCGGGGCCTCGTGGGATCGGGGCTGCCCTTCCCTCGTGGTCTATTCTCACCATCCTCATTCAGTCCTGTGGTGAGATGGGGAGACACGTCCCCCACCCCTGGAGTCTGAAGGGAGTGGGAGACCCTCCTCCCGTGTCTGATGGTGGGGACACGTCCCTCCCCCGGGAGGCTGAGGGGAGGCCGCGGCCCCCACCCCTGGGAGAAGGCTCTTTCCGGAAGCCCCAGACCTGGCCAGGAGGAAGGAGGCTTTGATCCCGGGTGTGTGGTGGGAGGGTGGGTGGTGAATCATGGTACCCATGGAAATCCCAGCCCGAATGTCTCCATGGCCTTGGAGATTCCAGGGTGGGGAGACTGCAGAAAACCCCCGGCCTAGCTCCTTCCTGGACCCATCGCCTTGCCCTGCACCCCGACCCCCCGGGGAGAATTCCAGGCCCCCAGCCCGCAGTGACCACCCCTCCCCCCAAGCGCCCGAGGTTCCCCTTCTGGCCCCTCCCTCTTTTCCTGCCCTGGGCTGGCCTGCCCTCCCTAGCTTGTGGGGCGGTGCTTCGAGCTTCTTGGGGTGCTCGGGAGGGGAGGGGGAGCTCCTGACGCCACTGGGCGCAGGCCTCCCACGCCCATGCTGCCTGTCTGCGTGCTGCCTGGCTGTGGCTCCCCGCACAGGGCTGGAAGCGGGAGGCCCTGACTCCTTTCTGAGGCCAGCGGCTCCCCCGGCCCCGCCCCCGTGTGGCCGCATTGCTGCATCCTTCAATCCACTAGGTTTCTTGAACCTCTGCATAGGCCACAGAGGCCTGCCCTCCCGGCTCCACGTGGCTTCGCACCCTTCAAGGCCCAGCCACCTCTTCCAGGAGCACGGCTCCTCCAGGCTCATTCTCAGTCTCTCTGAGACCAGGCTCCAGGAATGCTGGGTGCACTCGTACTCCCAGCCCAAGCCCCTGGGGTTCTCCTCACCTCGGGGTGTGCGGGGTGTCATTGAAGCTGCTGGGTCTGCAGTGAGGGTCCGCGTGTCTCTGCAGGCGGGACCACGTGCTGGCCATTCTAGCGCTGCGCCGACTGGGCCACCGTCGGAACCAGCACCTCCTGACGCATGCCCAGGACCTGCTGAGGGCCGCGGCCAAGGCAGGGGGCCCCGGCGCTGCTGGGGGCCACGTGCTGTTCGAGGAGATCGAGGTGCCCACCTCCATGGATGTGCTAATCACCTGCATCTAGTGCTCCTGGGCCTGAGAGGGGCCGACCCCAGGTGGAGGGTTGGCCACCTTCCCCCAGGCACTGAGCCCCAAGTCAGGAGCCCGTGGTCGTGGAATTTCCATCCTCAGCCATGCATGGCTGGTGACCAGAATGAACAGCCATGAGAGGCATTTCAGGCATTTGCGGGGGAGGGTTCGGGCGTGTCAGAAGTTCCCATCAGTACTGCCCACCCAGGAAGGCCTCCCTGCCTAACTGTCCAGCGCCACCCCAGTCTGAAAGTGAAGAACAGAGTATTTATTTTTAAAATAAACATGAATTAAAATGGTGTCTCCCTAAGGAGGGGCAGGCCAAGTTGACTTCAGGCAGAAGGTCTGGGTTCCCATGCACCCAGGGTCCAGCCAGAGGTTCCGTGGTGACTCCATTTGGTGATGGCTGTTTCCTGCTCACTGTACCAATGGGGAGACTGAGGCAGGTCTAGAACTGGGAAGGCCCACCCCTGTGGCTGCAGAGCAAGACAGGCTTTGACCCCGGGCCCCCAGTGCCGCGTGCCTAGTGAGCTTTGCCCAACGGGGTGAGCGCTGCTCTGTCCCATTCTAAGCAGGCCTGGGCCCTGGGAGACGAGAAAAGGCCAAGCCTTGTTCTGCAGCTTGAGGTATTTGAGTTAGTTGTGAGAGGAACTTCCCAGCAGTGAGAGTTGTGTGCTGCTGCAGGGCAAGTGTCAACCTGGAGTGTGTGTATGAGGGGTTGCCCCTGCAGGTCTCGGCTCTGGACGTGGCGCTGCAAGGAGATCACCCCGCTGCGCCCCCGCGCACACCCCTCCTCATTCTCCTCTCACAAAAAGTTGGCACTGAAATTGGTCTCCAGCCTGCAGTTGAGGCTGCTGTGGAACCCATTTGCGTCCATAACCTCGGGCTTGCCAGGAAGGCTGAGCTCTGAGATGGGGAGACTGACAGGATGCGGCCGGAGGCAGCGATAGGTGCCTTTCCCCCCAGTCCCCTTTCGGGGTCCCGGGGGGGAGCAGGAACAGGTGCCAGCGGCAGCCTGTTCCCTGGGGGCACCTGGCCAGGGGTGGGGCAGGCCGGGGGCCGAGGGAGTGTCCAGATCTTCCCAAGTGGGGAATCCAGTGGGGGTGGGATGAGCAGGGCAGGAAGGAGGAAGCGGAGAGGTTGGGGCTCCCAGGCTCCCGGAACAGGCGCGGGGTCGGGGCGTGTGAGTGCTGACGCTGACAAGCGGTCCTTGTGTCAGTGGGGAAACTGAGGCTAGCGGAGGATGGAGGTTGGCACTGCTTCACAACGGGTCCCAGCACGGGTGGCCTGGGATCCTCACAGCCAGGGAGAGGGGAGGTATCGGAGGGGCACCTCTCTTCCTAGGGAGGGGCAGGTGATTGACAGGTCAGCCTGACCCCACATGTAAGCCCAGGGGCCAGCAGTGGTCTGGGTGAGAGTCTCAGGCCGGGGGCAGTGGTGAGAGTATACGAAGCCTTGATCTGGTTTGGTCCTGGCCAGGTTCTCCCCCGGGAGCCCCTGCCACCCCCTCCCACATTTGAGTCCCAGGCCCCAGGCCCCTCAGGGAGGCCCCCTCCTGCAGGCCCTGTTCCTCGCTGTGACCCTGACAGGCCTGACCTTGCCTGAGCCCCTTGGCTGCAGGCTGAGGGTCCTGGGGCTGGGTTTCTAAGCCAGGCTGCAGAGGTGAGAGGGGATTCAGCTCTACCACTTTCCAGCCAGAAGACTGTAGGCAAGTTTCTTCACCTCTCTGTGCCTCAGTTTTTCCAGCTGTGAAATAGGGTTTGTGTCTGTGCCTCCCAGGCCGGGAAAGAGCGAAGTTAAGAGCCTACCGTAAAGCCAGGCTCTGGCCCCCCTGTGACCCCATGTTCGCAGGTGTCTGGTCAGGCCACCATCTGCAAGAAAAAGCTGAGAAGAGGCTGGGTGCAGGGGTGGGGGAGGTGGATGGTGTCAGTGAGTGGGCAAGGCCCCAGCAGGAGGCTGAGGCGGGGTGTGGGTCTGAGCAGACGCCTCATGTTGCAGTGGGAAGGATTTAGGCCGAGACCCAGGCCCAGAGACAGAAAGTCAGGGCTTTCCTGGCAGGAACCTCCATGCCCGGGTGGGTATGTGTGCCCTGTGGATGTTCCTGTGAGCCCAGCAGAGTCTGGGGGCTGGGGTCAGCTTCCCAAGGCCAAGCTGGGGTGAGCAGGAAGACAGACGGCAGCTTCTATGAGGGTGCAGCCAGGGAGGCTGCGGACTGGAGGGAGGGCTGAGGCCAGGGGACCCAGGGCTGGCTCAGGTCCAGGGCTCTGGCCATTGGCTGTTCTGCCCCGGGCTTGGGGGCTGTGCTCAGGACCCCCCCTGCCCACCAGGTTCCATGAGGCCTTGCGAAGAGCCAGAGTGCTTCCTTGGCTGCCCTTTTGTCCAGGCCAAGCATGGCGGGGGGGGGGGGGGGGGGGGGC